CCGATCACGGATAAGCGGGAGAAGATGGATGGATGGACATATAACAACGTTTTTGTTTCTCATTCTGGGATAATGGCATATCGGCAATTGTATGTTAGAGAACTCAAGCTGGGGTTTCTCTCCACTCTCTCTGTAGCCTGGCTCATGTCCCTTTACCAAGTTGTTTGATATGCAAAAGGTTTCAAGCAGACTTGCTCTTATCTCCGATCATGTGATGATAGCAAGAACATAATGTGTTTTCTGAGGTGAGACAGAGTCTGAGCAGTGATGTGCAGTAGGGATGATATGTATTATTACTCTTTCTACTGCTGCTGCTTATTAGATGCTGCATCATTCTGCTGTCAGGGTTTGTTTTCTCTCTCTGTTAGGGTCAGGTCAGGATGTATTATTGTTTGGTCTTTTTGAATCAGGTCATCCTTACCTTTTGTGTCTGTGCCATTTTTGCATTTATTTGAAAGAGGACAGTGTAGAAATGGATGAGGAAGAAAGGCATGACAGCAGAGGTCCTTAGGCTGGATTTTAACCTGTTGTTGTTTTCATTGTTGTTATATAGTGTAAACTGTAATTACTCAAATATCAAGGCGTTCCAGGTCTCCCTTTGAAATTAAAGTACGGTTGAAAGCATGTGGGTTTTCCAAAGGATCTTTATTTTGGGTACTTTAAAATGTCAAATGTGCCTGTCCTAGAAGGAATCAGTCTTTTGTATCCGTTCCTCCACTCAATGATTTAAATTGCTACGTACTACTAGTGCACTGTTTGTGTCTGGTTATTTGTCTCTCTCCAGTGAGTGATATCATTACTGCTGCCTATCTGCTATTTTCTCTAGTCTCTGTTTATAACTCCATTTAGCACATGCCATATGTGTTTACGTTTGTATGGTAATTCATTTGACATTGTCAAAACGCACTGGTGAGACCATTATCTACAGACAACCATGAGTGGCAATATGTTATTACAGAGCAAAGGATTACTGAATAAGGACAATACATACAATGGTACTCTTTTTAGCAAACGGTTGTCTTTAAACGGAAACATTTTAAAATAAATATACAATAGATACATTCTCTGTTGGGTGGACCTCATATCTTTAAACAGGGACATTGCGATCTAATGGAATTGTTGTGAGTCATAACGTTCACATTAACACATGTAACTCTATGCTTGCATAACATTGCATTATTTTGTAATTTCATAACAGCAAGTTGCAAAAATGCATTCCCCTGGTCTGCTTCAAGAGGCATAGTGAGATTGATTTACAACAGATGTATGCAATACAGTCATACATCACAGGTAATGTTTCATATTAGGACAAAAACTGTGATGCTGGGACTCAAATCATTCTATTCATCTTAATAATCTACTATTTCACTTCGAACTGCTGATGCAAGGCAATAGGATGTGTGTGAGAAAGAAACAGAGAGGGAGAAAAATAAAGAGAGACAGATAGAGAGCGAGATAATCGGTAGACCGTGGAGGTGAGAGACTGAAGGGGTGCAGGGCTGCAGGATAAGGCTTGCATCTGCATATCAAAGACTTCATGCCGGGAAATGATGAGAATAAAAACTGTAATATTGCTATAAATATATAGTGTATGTACCTACTGAGTGTGATGTAGGACCATATGGGAGCAAGTCATTCAGAGGACAAAGGAATCGTTCTTTTGACAAAACACAGTGGGTTTGATAAGCAGAGTGAGTCCTTTGGAGGGATGACATGCAGTATTACACGTGTTTAATTAGAGGCACGGGGAGTCAAGTATAATACTCCTGTGTGCTTAGCTTGTCTGGGTAGACTTATAGTGATGAATGGCTTGAGAAAAGTGTCACTTTCAAAATGTTAAGTGAAATACATTTAATCAAGCCTGTAATATAAAGATGGAAACACACAGGCGATGCATACTAAACACATTCTGTTCTTTTTTTTTATGGTATTAAGTTGAATAATGGATTCAGAAAGTAACTTTTCTTACTTCCCAATTTCCTTTCTTTCGCCTACAATGACTGCTGAATAGTAGGTATGTTTGCACAAATGCTTTCTGCATTTCATTTCAGATGTACTCGGCACCTCCAGACACATGTGTTATTTTTCCAAAGAGGCACATCAGCGGGGAAGTGCACTTCGCCTGTCGTCGGCATGTAATCAGCGAAGTATGCCTCTAACTGTAGGGAACATGATAAGTGTGACACAGTGAGTATCCATCTTGCAATTAGTATGGAAATGTCTCTAGCTCCAAGGAACAGGTGCAAATTGCCCAGGTGTAAAAAAATGGGGAAAGTGAATATTTTGTTTGTCATCTGCATTTCACAGAAATCTCACAAAAGACAGAGTGTAAGTGCATCACAACAAATAATGCAAAGTACTAGCACCAATTTACATTCTTAGGAAGATAAATAGACACATTACCTGACCAATTCATGTGTTCAGAGGGTGGAAGTAGTGCACTTCTAATAAGATATTTATTAAGTGCCTTTGACTGCAGTTACATTGAGACAGTAGAAGGGCAAACATTTAAATAAACATTTATAAGTCCAATTTTATTAGGAGTCTAACAAATACAAAAAAACAAGTTCTCAAATAGAGCAACATTTTAGCCACAGTAAATGAATTAAGAAAGATAATTACTTCTGCAACATCACATCATTTGGAATATTGGTGATGTACAGAGGCCTCGCCAAACAGACTGGACCAAAGTGAAACACTAAATGGAAGAAGTTATAGAACTGAACTGATGTATTACCCTCTGTTTTACTGGCTGATGTATTATTATTATTATTATTTCTTCTTTGACTGTGACTTTTTAGGCAAGACGTCTTGAAAACCGCAGAAGCCAGAACGTGTCTGTTAATAAACAGTTGAATTAACTGATTTATTTTTGCAGTGTGCCATGCAGTGTATGCACTTTTCCACCCCTATAAAGATGCTGTGATCTTCGCTTTGATCACTGCTTGTCTTGTGAGTTACGGGGCTGCCAAGTTGTTTGACTAGTTCAAACCTGTCGTGTGTATATAACCCTCGGAGCCCTGGCTTGAGTGCAAATCCCTTTACTGGCCGCAGTTTGATGTAACCCAGTGTGTAGAGCTGGAGTCTGGGGGCAGAAGATCCACTGGGCTCTCTTTTGCTTCAGGGCTAATGGATGAAGACTGTCGGGTTCCCCTGGTTTCAGATACTCACATTGTGCCTTTGTTGTATAAAGGAAATTCCCCAACTGGTTGAGCCTCTTGAACCTTTTGGGAACGAGAGGCTCTTACTCCTTTTTACTTATTAGGCTGTAGAAGTCCCAGTCATGTGTACAAATTCTCTTAAGATGGATTTTAAGCCCCTTTTAGCTAACAGCTTTTTGCTGATCAAAGCAAGTAATCCCCCCTTAAATGCTCAGCTCTTTATGTCAGTCCTAGCTACAAAGTGTCCCACCTTACTGTGTGCAGTTCTTTATTACACACACTCTATGCTCAGCTAAATGGTTACAGTCTCTAAAATGTATAAAAACAAGTCTATGTGTCTCATGCAGATATTTTATTCTCTGAGAATGATCAGTGTTTATTATCCATCTACAAATAAATCAATAGAGCATCTCAAATGTATCTTCAAAGCAAAATGCAGAATTTGTACAAGTCTCAAGACTTCACATGGCAGACCTTCATATTAACAATAAGTTGAAAGGAAGGCATTTTTTCATGCTTTCTTTTCTGCAAATTACACAGCGAATGGAACTTTGAGGAATTATGTGAAATGACTGTTTCTGAATTATAGTACAATTCTAAAATACATGGATCTCAAAAGGTTTTATCATCAGTAAAACACATTTCTAAAAGGAACAACTAAAGCTTGGGTTGATAACATTGGACAAAACAACAATAAATCACAGGCTACAGCATAGGATCTCTAACTCTCCTCTTGGCAGGTTCCCCTTCGCTACAACCACCTTTATACCAAAATAATTGTGGTGACTTCATTATTGTATATGTACTACTTTGTGCACTCACCATTTACTAATGATAAGTTAATGGAAAACTTGTCTCTATGACGTGTTCAATTTTTCAATGTAAGTTGTTTACAGTGAACCACTTTTGCTTTAGAAATCCTGAATCAAAACAATAACAACACAGAGGACCTTGAAGACCTACAGCAGACACACAATCACGCAGTGTTTAGCCAAGCTAAAGCATCGTGACCCATAGGGCAAAACTAATAAAAGGCATTTCATGGGCTCTTGAGAAACTGTGTATGAGAGATATATATATAGTGTGTGTGTGTGTGTGTGTGTGTGTGTGTGTGTGTGTGTGTGTGTGTGTGTGTGTGTGTGTGTGTGTGTCTGTGTGCTAATAAAATACACACAGAAAGTTATCCGTATGTGTTTGCCTGTATTTGTGCATAGATAGACCCTCATCATCTCTCTGTGATTACAGGAGCATTTCACCACAAACAGCATATGACTTATCAGAGTGAGCCAGGTTGTCAGAGCACTGACAGTTTAGGGAGAGCTGCAATGGGATACGTCTCAATTCTCTCTCTGTCATCCCCTTCTCACTCTCTCTCTTACAAACATGCAGTATGTACACACACATCTGTGCAAACACAGATGCGGCACCCCAACGGCAAACCCTGACTACGGATTCTAAGAGCGGCTCCGCTGAGCCCTCAAGCCTTTCTATCTCTCCTGAAACGCAAAACTGATAAAAGACGACCATTACTCCTCATGTCTTCAGAGACATAGGAAGATGTAAACAGTAAAGATGTGAAACAACAAGTCTCAGCGGAGGATTGTCAGTGTAATCTACACTAGTGGAAATAAGAAAATATGGCTTTTTTTAGTTGAGACAATAAGGCAAAAGAAGACAAAGCCAAAAAAAAAAGGATTTAGACAAGAGACTGAATCAGATTTAAGTAAAGCTTATAACAATATACACTTTATCAGCCAACAACAGAACTATCTATTACTTCATTCTGAACATGGGCATGCATTAGTGTAGGTGAACATGTGTGTACTGTGTACTAGTTACCTGAAGGTCATTTGGAATATCTGTCCCAAGTTGACTTGCTGGGTTTTGTTGTTGTATCCATGCAGCATCTCACCAAACAGGGTGTCATTGAAGTGGACATCCTGCCGGGGGCACTTTGGTCCATCACAGTTGTCTGACAGCAGGAGGCAGGAGCGCCCCTCCCCTGACAGTTTGTACTCCTGAACACACCTGAGGAGGAGGGAAAAGCTGTCTATATCTTGTATAATATGCAATGAATGTGAACATAAATATATTCAAGATAGTACAAATAAAAAATCCATCTCCAAAGGTGCCCTTACTTTAAAGTGAGTGCAAATCAAATGTGCTGATGGCATTAAGGGAAATGTACATTGCTGCTAATTGTATTTTGTTGCAGGCTTGTTCACCCTTTGTGTAACTTAGTCTTAAGTTAAAGAACAACTATAAATGCCATTTCACATTGTGGAGTGAGAAAAACATACTTTCTTCATTTTTCTTCATACTTCATAGTTCACTCATTACTGTACTGGGCCCACATGGCGTACAAATTAAGTGAGTTGTGACCTGGCATGATCAATATTATTAGATCTGCATGGTTATCAGTATCTCAAAACTCCTCTTGGATTTTCCTACACTACAGTTTTACTATTAGAAGTATAAATCCCCTCATAAGTGACAGAAGTAATGAAATAGAAAATGTGCTGCAGTGGTGCTAACAACATTTCTGCCGTGAAATCCCACTGACAAGCATGGCACAAACAGCTTGATCCATCCTTCTTGGCGTATTACTGGTAGAAGGTAGTGTTGCGATAATGGTGTGAGAAATGATTTCTTGCCACACATTAGGAAAAAGCATAAACTGTGGGGATGCCACAGTGTGACACCGCTGTTGATCAGCTTCCTGGGCCATCATTGCCACGGTATAACTGTGGCAGATCCCTAGGGATTACTATCCCACGTGAACCAATTTAGTCCTAAAGAAGTTGTGCAAAAAAGCTTTTCCTAGCCCTCATACAGTGTATCATCACAGTGGAACATGTGTAGGGTGAGGAAGAGGGCGTTTTAACTGTTTGGCTGACTGATGTGCAAAATATAAGAATGATTCAGCACTCAATTTTTCATCTTGGAAAAATTGATCTTAGAACAGCAAACTCCCTCACGTTTAAAAGCTAATTAAAAACATATCTTTTTAATTTGGGTTAACTTTCAATTGTCACTAGTATCATTGTCCATGTTTTACTGTATTTTATTTACATTTTATTTTTAAAATTGTTTTATTTAAAAAATATTATCACTGTAGATGTTTTATCTTATTCTGTATTCATTTTTAGAATTATTTTAATATTGTTGTTATGTTTTCTGTAAAGCACTTTAGGCTGCTTTGTGCATGAAAGGTGCTATGCAAATAAAGTGTATTATTATTATTATTATTATTATTTTTCAGACGTCTTTTTTTACTTTTAAGCCGCATAGAAAAATCCAAGCTTCTCAATTGTAGATTCTAAAAGTATTTGTAAAAGCCATCAGTTAACCAGGTAATACTACAGGGTTGACTAATTGACATTGTAAAACATTAATAGGATAAGTTATTATATAAAAAACAATGTTTATATAACATCTTGGGCAAATGTATTTCATCACATTTGTATTTGCTGATTAAACACTTCATTTGCATATCTCATTTCCTTCGTGTGGTTATTTGCCTGAGGAAGAGTCTGATTGAAATATCACTCACAAATACGATTCCATGAGCCGGCAGAAACCTTTCATTTTGTTTTTCCGCTGTTAGTTATTCTCACCCGCAAAACATGAGCATGTTGCTTGAGCTAGGGTCATCTTCAAGGGGCACGAGCTGCTGGCGACACAGCTGTTCACAGCCTCCGTTGAAGCCATCGGTGCAGTCAATGCCCCTAGAGTAGTCATAGCAACCTGAGCCATCCTTCATTGGCCTCAACCCCTCAGGACACTGCAGGAAAAGAGAGACAGGCAAAGAAGGAGAGGTGGTGGGAGGGAGATGTGGTGAGAGGGTGAAAATGAAGGCATAAATTAGGGAGAGAAGAAGAGAGTAAGGCGCGGAGGTCAGCATGTGCATTTTAATCAGGATGAGGCGGCACCAAGGGTGTAAAGATGGGAGAGATGAGAAATGGAGAGTGGGATATTGAGAAATTCATAGACACATTTATGAAAGATGGCAATTATCTTATTTAATGATACAGCAAACATTGAGGTCTTTATGTGATTACAGATAAGAACAGCTGGAAACTGGCAGCTTGGAATCGTCCTTACAGCTTGTCTCACTACTTGAGGTCTTTGTTTGCTTATTTCATGTCAGACACAAACTCCACATGTGTTTGTCTCTCCTGGTGAGACTCCACACTGACAGGTGGAAAATAGTGGCAGGGGACGCCATGTTTATCAGAGGAGACATGAGTTGTCGACACCTTCCCCAGGCCAACATGGTGAGTAAGCAATGAAAAGGAAATCAGTGTGTGGGGATTTGTCCCTTTTACAATGGAGAGAGTATCATTTCACTTGAAATGTGTTATAGAAGGATAATAGTTATATATTATAAACATGGGCTTTGAGGAACAGACATATGTCAATTGCATACAGAGAACCTCAAATGAGAGTATCAATGAAGATCAGGCATATATTTACTGATATCACATTTAATTACTGTTTTCAGCTGTACTTCATCATTCAGTTTGAATGATTTTCAGCTTGGCATTGACACCCAGCAACTCCACACATAACACATCACATTTACCTGAGCATACGCATTCTGGAGAGAAATCTGAAGGGAAACAGTATGTCCAAAGTTTATATATCCTAAGTTTATGCTGGCTAATTGATCGTGCAGCACTACTTTTGAGTTGTTGTTTTTTCTTGTTAATTATACTTAAACCGGCATAATAAATACTAATTAAGCATGAATGCAAAAACAGCAGAATCATTCTATAACAAAGCTGAACTCTATTAAAATGATAATTTTGCTTGGAATTAATAACTTGTAGACTTAATAGCATACTGTTCAGGATTATCCATATCTGATGTTAAAAAAAAGAGATTGTTGCCCAAACAAAACAAGGAGGTTATACTTGACACACTTTTCTGCTGGCACAGCTTTTGTTACAGAGGCTTGCAAAAAGCTGTTATGGTAATATTTATTTAATATCCTCTTAAGGTGTTAGCATATGATTAATGTCTTAAATAATTAAACATGAACTGTTGTGGTAGAGACAGCAGACTCAACCCGTACAGATATGATAAATTATATTTTATTGATATTGAAAAGAGCGATTGTTTCACTCAACGCTTCACCATACTAATTTAAAGATTATATGGTATGTTTGTGACAGTGTCATATTATAGGTACTTTATAGGCCTTTTAAGTACTACTGTCAAAGGTTCTCTAAAGCAGTGATTCTCAAACTTTTTTCAATAATGTACCCCCTTTGAAAAAAAAAGTCAGCCAAGTACCCCCTGATCAGCGCAAAAACTATTTGTTAAGGGAAAAAAGCCTATATAAATAGGTACAGTACAGCGCTGCACCATCAGTGTCTGATTTATTAAAACAACAACATTGTAACTGAGAAACACTACATTTCAAATGTTGACAATCCATCACTAAATTCATGGCCAACCAATTTTAACATCATGCAATAACACTAAGACGACATTAGTGCATTGATCTGATCTTTTTAATAAGTTGTACTTACAATGTAGTGAGAAACATGGGCTTGTGCTTCACTGAGGATCTTTGTCATTCTGACAGGGAGGCAACTGCAGTTATTATACTTTGCGTTTTGAAATAGTGTAACTCTAGTCTATGAATATAAAACCCACACTGCTCAAACTTCGTTACTTTTCCTAAAATTGGTATATTTATCAAATTTGTTTTCATTAACATCAAATAAATCTCACGTACCCCCTGCAGTACTCAGACGTACCCCTAGGGGTCCGTGTACCCCCATTTGAGAACCACTGCTCTAAAGACACAGAATAATCTGTAAACTCTTACATCTCTTAATGCATGAGACATCTTCAGACTGTTAGCGAAATATTCACTACAAAGCTTCATCAGAATTCCCACACCGAGAACAGCGGTTGTTCACATTATTACACTGATGAGATATTCTGTTTCATTGCCTCTCAAAACATCGCTCTAATGTGTTATTTCTGATTTTGTCAGTTCATCCCACTAAACTAGGCTCGAATGTGAAACAATTATATCTGGAAGAGGTGTTGATGGTGCATTAGTGTCTTAAAAGAACAAGGGTGCAGAGAAGCAATATTCCACATCCAGGCGTTTTTGAAGTAGATTTCTCGCCTTGAAATAGCATGGATTCACAGATTGGTAACGTGCCAACACTGTGTCTGTCATGTTTTATATTGTATCCCTAATGAGGGAGACATTAGATTTCGGAAAACAGATCTTCTACGAGAGTGATTGAAACTATCAACAGTTCATTTTTGAAAAATCGCTCATATTTGAATGTTTGATGGGTTTTCTGGCACTGGAATCCAGCAATCAATTTACACCTTCAGACAGCCATATGCTGAACATGTATCATTTTTAATAACCAACACCTCACTTTTCTCAGAGCGGCAAGTGCTGCTGTAATTTCTGTTTTGTGATGTGTTTATGTGATGGTTTTCTGGATTCAAAATGTAAGAGACTCTTAAATTACATGGCAGTTTGCAGAACAGTCTTCACCACTTTCACTGACGGCCGCTGTGACTCATCTGCGAGTTTGTGTGTTATGTGTTTTCTGCGTGGGATTGATTGTGGGTGTGTGAGGCATGATGACACAAAAATGATAGGTGTTTACTGTATGCATTTCAGCTATTTGCAAAAAAATAAAGTTGGCCTGCCATTGCCCAAGGTTAACAAGTTTGCTTCATTTGAAATGTTCTGAGCTGTTCTGCTATTCTGTGAGCAAAAATATCAATCAGGAAACACAAAAATAGGTTTTGAGACTGACTGACACGCTGTAAAGAGAGTCTTATACCCTGAGGTAGCTTTTGCAGCTCTTCAGTGTATAAGGGTCAACAGGTGAGGGGGGACATTATAGGGAGGGGGTGTATGTCATTGATAGTTCAGTAACATCTCTGTATGTGAACTTTTAAGCCTTCTGGGCAGAGGTATTGGACATCTCACTTTTATCTCCCACAGTGGTATAGATTTATAGTGTAAATAAACCCTAAATAAGACACCCAATCTGTTGTAGGCTTTACATTTACAGATCGTCAATATACAGTATGCAGTATATGTCACCATAGCCCCAAGCTTTTATGATGTAACTTAAGGTCAGTGATTAACAGTTTAAACCTATTGTTGTCACATGTCATAAACACCACTGAAATATAGTTGGACCTCCACTCACCCTAATGTTAACCTCTTTTACCCCCACTGTGCCAGAAAACATTTAATAAGATGTGGCGAGTATGTCTTCCTACCCTCCAGCATTGTTGTGACAGTCCAGACTGGACACAATTCAAATAATGTTCATACATTATAACTAACTGACAGATCATAAATGCTCCTGAGACCAGTAATAAACAAGATTTCCCAGGTAAGAAACCATGGGTCACAAAAGCAATTAAAGGTCCATATGGTGGGTTTTAATAACAGTTATGTAATGCAGTACAGGGAAATTAAGTCAGAAATGAGAGGAGGCAAATGAGATACAAAAGAGGATTGGGCAAGAGCTTTCCGATGTGAAATATATTAGAAAAACATGAATGTTATTACTGAGGCCAGGACAAGATAAATAGGGATGTCAGCCTGAATGTCAGTTCTAGTAAACAGCTAGCTGTTTCACTTAACGTTTTTAAAGCTGCAGGAGTTAAGTGGGAAAACATTTTTTGTTGTGTTTTAAACACTGGGAAAACACTTTTCTGCCTGATACATTGTAGGAAGAGCTCTAGGCTTGATAACATCTGTTTCTGGGTGCTTGGAACGTGTAGAGAATGATTCCCCATTGTTTTTACCATTGTTTTTTTGTATAATCTCATGAGCAACAACATATCCAACTGGAAAGCCTAACATTGTTAATGTGAAATCTCCAAAGTCTTGAATCATGAATGCCCTCAGAGCAGCAGCTGTTCTCCAGTTATCAAGGCCTTTGCAAAACATCTCAAGCATGCAGACAGGGGACAAACTGGAGAGATAACAGGTGAGCTGAGGATTATGCGTTTTGACATTTGGAAGACCTTCACTTACACTCATGTCAGGCCTGAACGTACAGTATAGGCTTATATTTATTTTTCCAACCGTATTTTTCTCTCTATTTTATAGACTAAAAATTACAAAAGCAGTTATTGGATATATCCTGATTCAGTTGTAAGCTTAGTCAAATGAGGGGTGACAGGTCATTGGAGTGGTTAATGTTATCAAAAGCTATTGCCCAAAAGCTATTTGATTATCCACACGGTGATACCACCAGTGGTGACTAAAAGTAATTAAGGGGTTATTTTCCTTTAATGATGATAATTATCTCTCTCAGAACTGCTACATTATGCTATCATTTCCAGATCGCTATCTAATGAGATTGAATGATGGCTGATGGTTTTCACACAAAGGCTACAAATGAATCCTGAAACAAGGTTACATCAGCTCTTTCTAGGCAGTAGAAAACGCATTTTAAACAATACAACACAACATACTATAAACGTTGTATTGTACATTGTTCACATGTGTGAAATTGATAAAATCCCATGTGTTAAACATTTAATAGAAAAGCTCTCTTGTCTCAGATCCATTGATTGTATTGCATGAAAGTGATGCTAACTTCCTCACCAGAACAGAATTGGAGCCATTCATCACACTGAGCAGGGAGCAGTGGGAATAGCTGCCTGTAATTCAGAATTGTCATGCATCACTCAACAGTTGAATGAAAAGGACTTCAGGATAGCCATTAGCGCTGGCCGCAAGCTACTTGCTCTTTCTGCTTCAACTACTCT